GGCAGAGGGAACAGAGCGCTGTCTTGGTATCTCAGTTAAGAAAGACTCTTCGCTGCAAAATACAGAAACGAACTCTGGCTATCCAGAGGGGGTGGATTTATGACAAGAACACAGATATCTGACAGGAGCCGGGGCAGGAAAAGAACCAGAACTCAAAAGGGGAGGGTGTAGCCATGGCAACCTCTTCCTCTTACCTCCAACTCTTTTTTTTTTAAATATATTTTATTGATTTTTTACAGAGAGGAAGGGAGAGGAACAGAGAGTTAGAAACATCAATCATCCATTATGTGCAAGGCACTGTTCTAAGTGCTGCATAAAAATCCTCATTCTCAGGAATTTACCTTCTAGAGTGGGGAGATGACATTTCATAATTATATAGCATATCAGGAGGTAAGTGGCATGGAGAAAAACGAGCTGTGGAGGGAAATACAGATGAGTTGCCATTTTAAATAAGATGATTCAGGAAGGCATGGTTGAAGTGATATAAAGACTTAAAGGCCCTGAGGGATTAGGCCAGGGGTGATCGGGGAGAGGGCTTCTGGCAGATGAAGCAGCACATGTGGGTGCGTGAGTGCTCGGAAGTGGGAGCTAGGAGGATGGAGTGACATGAGCAAAGGGGACAGGAATAGGGGCCGAAGGCAAGGAGCTAGGTGTGCAGGGCTTTGGGAGCCCCACTGGCGGGTTCTGAGCTGAGGAATGACACAATTGGACTTGTAACAGGGCTATTCTGGTCACTGTATTGAGAAGAGACTAAAGGAGTTAGGGCAGCTCTGCCATGTTAGACAACCTCCTTTTCCCTTAATTTCCTCGAAGTGTAAAAGCAGGAGGTAATGGTCTTTGTTGATAGGGTGGGTATGAGGAGTAAATGAGTTTGTCAATGTAAAGCACTTTGTTCAGTGTCTGGCATATGATAAGCACACTGTATGTTTTTGCTAATATTATTATTATTATGGCTCTAACATGTGAAGTCCTAGAAACATGTGGCATATAGGACAGTTAGAAAAAATAGGTTTTTTTTCATAATTTCACTTATTAATTTCTTGGGGAAAGGTTCATTGAATGGATGATATAATTCTTTAAACAAAGTTACTCCTTAAATCCTAAAATTGTAAATGGAACTCATTTCCTCACACAATCTCGGTCACACCCCATTGACACATTTGTGGTTCAGGATTCCAGTAATTCAGTGGGCTTCTAATTAAGAGCTTACATCACACTAAAAGGTTTTTGCACAATGAAGGAAACCATCAACAAAACAAAAAGACAATCTACTGAATGGGAGAAGATACTCACAAATGATATCTATCTATATATATAAAAGCCTAAGCGACTGAACAACTGATTGGTCGCTATGACATGCACTGATCACCAGAGGACAGATGCTCAATGCACAGAATCGGGCTCCCTCCTGTCTGGATCGGGCCTGCGGGGATTGGGTCAAAACTGGCTACCCAACATCCCCTGAGGGGTCCCAGATTGCGAGAGGGCACAGGCGGGGCCGAGGGACCCCCACCAGGGCACAAATCCATGCACCAGGCCTCTAGTATTCCATAAGTGGTTAACATCCAAATTATATAAGGAACTCATACAACTCAACTCCCCCCCCCCAAAAAAAAACCCAAACCCCAATCTAATTTAAAAATGGGGCCCTTGCTGGTTTGGCTCAGTGGATAGAGTGTCAGCCTGCAGACTGAAGAGTTCCAGGTATGATTCCAGTCAAGGGCACATACCCGAGTTGCAGGCTCAATCTCCGGCCCTAGTCGGGGCACATGGGAGGCAACCAATCAATGTGTCTTTCTCTGTCTCTCCCTCTCCCTTCCACTCTCTAAAAAATCAATGGAAAAATATCCTCGGGTGAGGATTAACAACAACAAAAATAAAGTTAAAAATAAATAAATAAAAATAAAATAATTTTTAAAACATGGGCAGAGGCACTGAATAGACATTTATTCAAAGAGAACATACAGATGGCCAACAGACATATGAAAAGGTGCTTAACATCACTAATCATCAGGGAAATGCAAATCAAAACACAAGAGAGCAATTGAGATTTTGCTCACAGGCATATGTCATCATTTTGGCTCAAATAAACTCTTATAAAAATGAAAAACAAAACAAAAAAACCCCCACAAGATACCATCTCACACCTGTCAGAATGGCTATCATTAAAAAAAAAAATCAAGTGCTGGCCCTAGCAGTTTGGCTCAGTGGATAGAGCTTCAGCCTGCAGACTGGAGGGTCCCAGGTTTGATTCTGCTCAAGGGCACATGCCCGAGTTGTGGGCTCGATCTCCAGTAGGGGGAGTGCAGGAGGCAGCCAATCAATGATTCTCTCTCATCATTGATGCTTCTATCTCTCCCTCTCCTTTCCTCTCTGAAATCAATAAAAATATATTTAAAAAAAATATCAAGTGCTGGCAAGGATGTGGACAAAAGGGAACTCCCATGCACTGTTGGTGGATTGTAAATTGGTGCAGCCACTATGGAAAATAGATGGAGACTCCTTGAAAAATTAAAGATAAAACTGCCATATGACCCAGCAATAGCACTTCTGGGTATTTATCTGAAGAAAACAAAAACACTAATTTGAAAAGATATATGCAGCCCTATGTTCATTGCAGTGTTAGTTAGAATAGCCAAGATTTAGAAGCAACCTAGATGTCCATTGATAGATACAGAGAATAAGCTGTTGGTTGCCAAAGAGGAGGGGTAGGACGGTTGGAAAAAAAATGCCGAGCTTCTTCTATTAATGCCGTTAGAAACATTACTAAACACAAATCATTCTGTGGAACTAATAGAAACAGAGCAGAAACCAGTTCCTTTATTTATGATTTTTTAAAAACCTGTGATGTGTGAGATATGGAATAAATTACATGGTAAAGTGAGTATAATGTGATTAGTCTAAATTGGACAGAATATGAAAAAGTTGTGGGAGATATCTTACACAATTCTTTTGGTTGCAATTCAGAGACCCTATTTTATATCTTATGATGGACTGCACACACACAGAAAAGCTGTGTGGTTTGGTTAAGGAATGACACAATAAGAGGCAGTGTAACAGACATCCACACCTGAAACCTGTATGTTTATGTTGACCAATATCAACCCAATAAATTTAATTTAAAAAAAAGGGGTAGCATAATGTAGAGTTAAGAGTGTACGACAGACCTGATTTCAAATAACAGACCTACCAAGGACTAGGACTGTAGGAAATTTATTTAATTTTCTGTGGTTCAATTTCTTTAGGCCTAAAGGGCAGGGGATGATCATGGGGGATAACTTAAGGTTTGAAGCCAGCACCTGCGTAGAGAGAAATGAATCCCTAAATCCATCCAGCTAGTTAAAACAAGTCCTATCTTTGGTTTGTGACAACATGGATGGACCTAGAGATACTAAGCTTTTCAGGAGAGTCTTCCATTAAGTTGATGAGGGTCTGGCAATTGCAGTAGGAACTGCTCAGAGTTCTTAGTCATTATCAGCTGTGGCTGTTTTAGAACCAGCTATGGTGAACAAGCTAGACAGGAGCTGCTGCAGGTGGAAAGTTTTTCTTTTAGAGTCCGTATGTGTTTCAATGTCCTTTTTCACTGAAGATTGTACATAAGATTTATCCATGTTGATACTTGTAGGGGATGAAGAAGAGACATCACGGATGACACCCAAATTTTGGTGTACAGCAGTTGGGGTCCTCAAACTTTTTAAACAGAGGGCCAGTTCACTGTCCCTCAGACCGTTGGAGGGCCGGACTATAGTTTAAAAAAAAAAACTATGAACAAATTCCTATGCACACAGCGGCGGCGGGCCGGATAAATGTTTTCCGCGGGCCGCAGTTTGAGGACCCCTGGGTGAATGGTGCGGGGAAAGGCAAGGAAGAGAACAGCTCTGCAGCGGGAGTGGAGATAGTGACTTCTGGGCAGTGGGACATCGCAGAGGAAGTTGTAAATTACATTTAACTTACCCTCCCTCCCCCTTTAAGGTGCTTCTCAAGCAGCCTCGCTAAAACAAACACCGAAGTGAGCCCATTATCTACACGGTGGCCACCAAATTCTCTGCAGCTGAAAAGGGGTCCCTGTAGTAGGCCAACGACATGGTCAGGCTTAGTGACGATCCTCCCGGTGGCCCGCAGCTAGCGTACCCCTAGTCGCGTGCCCCTCCATTAATGGGGTCCTTCGGGATCCTGCCTCAGACGTCCTCCTCCAGCTTCGGTGGCCTCCACTACCGGCCTGACCCATTCATCCGGCCTTTTGCAAGACCCGATTCAAACTCCGGGTTTTCGGCTTCTAGACTCGCAGTTTGCGAGCTGGGACCAGCGCGGGAGGAAACTCTCAGCGGCCCGGCGGGATTCTCAGTCTTGCGCCACTCCCCGCCTCAAGCCCCGCCCCCTACAAGCACCACCCGCCCCGCCCCCAGCGCCGCCCCGCCCCCAGCGCCGCCACGCCCCCAGCGCCGCCCCGCCTGCAGCGCTGACCCGACCGCAGCGTTGTCCGCTGAGTACGTGTTACGCCCCGTCCGCGACAAGCACCGTTCGGTTTTA